AGTCTGATCGGGAGACAAGCCTGAAACAAAGTTTGCAGCTGTTTCCCTGTGGCTTCGTGACAGAACCTCTGGAAGACAACCCTCTAACTGCTGGTGGGCACTGGGTCTCAGATTTGTCTGTCTCTGCTCATCAGACAGCAAACAGATGACTCATTCAGGAACAAGGTGGAATTCACAGACTCACTGGATGCCAGGCAGGTTTGTTGTCTAAAGTGCATGTTGCAGGCTCTTATTAAATAAAAATGTCCTCCTCTTGCTCTCTTCCGAGTGAGGTCCAGTGAGCCTCACCGTCCTTGTCTGCATGATCACTGGCAATGCAGGGTTGGGTCCCAGGGATGGGGCAACTGTGGTATAACCTTTTTCTACTTCTGATATTGTGTAAGAGTGATCACCTCCTCTTGCTGAGCAATATTCCACCTATATTGGTTTTAAGTCATTAAAAACTACAGCATTCCCAGGGAAAACAATGCTAGCAGCTCCCAGAGGTTACCCTGACGCCAAGCTCCATCACTTTAGTAGCAATTAGACATTTCCCCATGACCCAGCTCTCTCTGCAAACCGAGCCAAAGTCACCAAAGGGAAACTGGAAATTAGAGGTGTGATTGTCATCTGGGACTAGAGGGGTGTCCAGGAGTCCCTTGGTGACGCCGCTTCACCTTAGCCAGGCTGCCTGCCCTGCACAGAATAGGCTCTGTTGGAGATCCAGAGCTGAATGTTAGGACAGGGACCATTATTCCCCTACTTGCTGGATTCCTTGTGGTTTCTAGATTCAAGCCAGGTTCCTCACTCAGGGCATGGCCATCTCCAGTCTCATCTGCTGAGAGGTTGGGATTTCTAAGGTTACTGTAGCCCTACACTAAGGGAAGAGATAGTCCCACGTAGGCAGATGGACAGGACAAATTTCAGACAAGCTCACCCCAACAGGTGTGGACGGAGGATTTGAGAGTGAAACTGAGCTCTTTCTCTATTAAAAGAAATGCAATGTGCTTCATTTTTTGACAATACTATAAACTCCCTTTTATGACACCAGTTATAAAATCCTTAACATTTGTCTAGTGCCAGCAGTCCATTTTTTTTACAGATTCAAATGCAAGAGAGAAAATTGTGATCCCAAAACCAGCTTGGGTTATAAAAACAGGGTATAATAAAAGTAACACATCCTATTTCCTGAAAAAAAAATTAGACTCTATATAATGAATGTATAGGCAGTGATGAAGAATCATGCATTTGTATCCATCATTGCTTCTTCTTTAAGTAGTTTAATTCATGAGCAAAATCCAAAATATCATCAGAGAGTGATAATTTCTCATGTTGGACCACGGGCATAGGAGGCTGAGGCGGCAATTTCCTGAGATTTCCCAGATGGTTTTAGTGGGGTGTGCTGGCCTCCCTGAGCCACACCAGGGCAGGTGCACAGAGCTTGTAAGGAGGCAAGACACTGGCACTAGTGGGCAGCCACACGCTAGCTGGCTGGGTCTGGGTGTATTTGGGAGAATTGGCAGGTGTGCAGAAAGGATTAATCACAACAATTGCTTGAGAACACCCATCCATTTGTTCAAGTAGAGATCCCTCCTTTTTGTTAAATCTCTCACTATTATAATGAAAAACGAAAATAAAACACCCGAGAAAGCTCATTTGGCACCGCAGTTTAAATACCACTTTGGATACCCACATCCTATATTGGTGTGCTCGGTTTCAGTCCTACCTCTGCTTCCAATTCCAACTTCCTGCTAATGGACTTCCTGATAATGGCAGGTGATGGCTCAAGTACTTGCGTCCCTGCCACCCGCTTGAGAGACCAGCATTGAGTTCCTGGCTCCTGGCTTTGGCTTTGCCAAGACTTGGCTATTGCACTATAATGGGCATTTGGCAAGTGAACAGGTGGATTGGAGGTTTTCCTCCATCTCTCTGCCTCTCCAAAAATAAAATAAATAATTTATTTTAAAGAATTGGGAACAGAGAAGTACAGCCAAGAGGTTATGAAGAAAAGGTTCTTATACATGATTACCTAAAAGTTACGATAACAAAACTATAACATTACACAAAGGCACAGCTTTGTACAAAAAACATTTCTGGGGCTTGCGCTCTGGCATAATTGGTTAAGCTGCTACCTGTGACTCCGGCATCCCATATGAGCACCAGTTCAAGCCCTGGGTGCCCTACTTCTGATCCACCTTTTGGTGATGTGCCTGGGAAAGTATCAGAAGATAGTCCAAGTGCTTGGACCCCTGCACCCACGTGGGAGAGCTGCAAGAATTTCCTGCTTCCTGGCTTCGGCATGGCCTGGTCCTGGCCATTGAGGCCATTTGGAGAGTGAACCAATGGATGGAAGATATTTCTCTCCCTCTCCTCTATCTGTAACTGCTTTTCAAACAAATAAATAAACCTTCAGATCAAAACAAAACATTTCTGCAAGGATATTTGTCCAGCAACTATTTGTTCAACCTCAGAGAAAGCTCTGGCTGCTAATTATTGTGGCCAAAGTGTACTGCTCCAAAATATCTGAAGGAATCACCCCCCACAACCTTTTGTTTCTAAAAACTTTGCCTTGCCTCAACCTCTTGGAATATGTTCATAATTTTCTATGCCATGCATATGCCCATTATAATTCTCTGCTATTCCCGGGAACTGCCGTGTTTTGGTAGCTCCAAATCAATATCATTGTCTTTAGAGAGTCTCTTTCTCTCTCTGAGCTGGTTTGTTTGTTTTTTAGATCAACATGCTGCTCTCTTTCCTGTTGCATTGCCTCCCCCAACTGCAGCAGGCACTGGGGCAACTCATGTGTTTCATCGTTACTTTAGATGTGTGTATGCATATGTTTTGTACATTCTAAAAAGAGTTATGATGGGTATGCTATTTTCTATTAGTTGATACATATATAATTTCTGCTAAGATTCTTCCATATTATTCTATGCGGCTGTAGGTCATCCCTGTCACTGTTGAGCCATATACATTTTTGGCACTGACAATGGTCATTTAGATGGTTCACAGGGGTTTGGTTCTGTGAGCGAGGCTGCCATGGCCGTTCCTGACTCCAAGGGAATGTGTGAATGTTAATTCAGGGTTGATGGATATGAGTGAAATTGCTGGGCTATAGGGTCTGTGAACATTCCATTTGCTAAGAGAATAACAAACTCTTTTTCAAAGGGGTCATCCCGAGTACCCGCCCACCAGCAATTAAACACCTGTTGCTCCACATCCTCTCAGCTACTTCTCATTTTGTGCTGTCTAATTGGTGTAAAATGATATATCTCTGTGCTTTTGATTTGTCTTTCACAGATCATTAATGAGTTTGAACATCTCTTGATATAATTATTGCTCATATGCATTGCTTCCTCTGTAAAAGGCTGTGCGAGTCTTCTGTTCATTTTTCTATTAACTTGGAGCTTTTCTTAATGATTTATAACAGTTCTCGATATTAACTGAATATTGGGTATATGTATTATAAATAGCCCCTCGTAGTGTGTGACTTACCTTTTGATCTTTTAGAGTGTCCTCTAATGAACAGAAGTGTAATATTATCAAACAGTTCCCTTTCCTTTACAGGAAGAGCTTATCGTAGTATTGTTGCAATGTATCTTGTTAATACCCTGTGTGGATGGGCATATTGGCTGTCTCAGAGAGACAAAGAACATCGGGAGAAGGAACTCAGGGCTACTGGGCTCTGGCCTCACACTCACAAAACGCCTTAAATCAATTTTGTATTCATTATCTCAAATGAGGTCACCTACAGCCACAAAGAGTCACTGTCAGGGATGAGAGAAGACTGGAAGCTCCAGTCCAGGCACCATCCTTGGCAGCGCAGTAGGAATTAGGAGGTTTTCCTAAGTCTTCTAAGCATGAGAACAGCAGAGTTACACTGCATCCCATTACTCCTGTGAAAGTATCACTCGACTATGTAAACATCCAAAAGCTTCCATCACATGCATTTTCAGATGTTTGAAGTCCAGAAGGAAACCCCCAAACAGGAGGTTCTCCAGGTCTCTCTCGACTCCATGAGGTCCCAGGTTAGGTGGCTGGTGTGCCACATTTTACGTGGTTGATGAATCATGCAATTGGGATTCCCACCCATCTGTGTCAGGCTCAGAGCCCAGGCACTGTCTGCTGTGCAGCTGATCTAAGTAGGGGTGCCAAAGGGCCAGCGCCCCACCCCGCCCCGGCCTCAGCCAGTGGACCTGAGACAGCACTTTCTGAGCTTGTTTCAAACCTATTCCTAGCAGGCACTCAACAGCCCCACAGCCAGAAGCTGCCTCCTTCTCAGCCTTCTGCCCAGTGGTCCCCAAGCAGGGCTCAGGCCTCTGTCTCTGGACAGCCTGGAGCTCTCCTGGGAGTGACTGGTGGGTTGTTGAGGATGCTTCTCATTATAAAGAGCAGGTAGATCCTGGTGGCCCCGAAGCTCACTCTACATCATCCTCACATCCATCCCCTGCCCTCAACAGGCAGCTCCTGAGGGGCTGCAGGAGACATCAAGTGTAGTGTCAGGGGTTGTGGAAGTGGGTAGAGTAAGGGTTGATGGACCTGGCCACTTCCCACCTGTCCCCCAAGTACAGGCTCTGTCCCAGGCTTGCTGCCCTAACCACCATCCCCAAGGCACACTTCCTCACAGCAGGACCCCAAAGACCCTGCCTGACCCCTGCCCTGTGTGTGGACCAGCATGTGTACCCCCAGGCTGCAGCACCACATGCTCCACCACTGCTGAATCTCCTCCTCCACCCCTGTGCCTCTCGCCAGCACTCTGATTCTGCCAAGTGTTCCCGAGTGCCAGCATCCCCAGAACTCACCAGGAGGGAGGGCACGAGGCTGGGACTCCATCTGCTGGCTTTCCCCCAACAAGCACCTCCCTGGAAACTTAGAACACACCTAAAGAACCTGCCCCTGCTGCTGAGAATGGAAGTCCATGGAGAGGAGGGGTGGGGAGGGATCACCCTGCAGGTGACAGGGCTGTTCAGATGCACTGGGGGATGATCACGCCCAGGGCCCAAGCACCAACACCCTCCTACCTTCCTAATGCCTTCCGAAGGACTGGCCACGCAGTTGTCGGCCCCTCCGTTCTTGCTGATGGTCCTCCACAGCTCGGCAAATGTGCTGTCCTGCTCCAGCAGGTTGGTGCCCTTGGCTCGGAAGTACTCATACACAGCAGAGTCCCGGACGGTGCCGTAAGACATCTCCACTTGTTTGGACAGGTCCTGGAATGTCCTGAAACGCAGACAGGCAAGGGGGGGGGGGTCGTGGGTGTGTGCTGCACCCTGCAGGCTGCTAGGCCAAGACCACCACAGCCCACACTCCACATTCTTCACACCCACTGCCTGACAGCACCAGACCCTCAGCCTGGAGCATGACCGCTACTCCATCACTGGATCACAGGCATGTTTCCTCCATGCACATGAATTCAGCAAGATTAATGAGCACCCACGGTTAGGTTCTAGGCTGAGCTCCAGGAATGGAAGGATGAATAAGACACATTTCCTGCCCAAAAGGAGTTGAAAGTCCAGCTACAGAGACAGATATGCAGACAGATGATCATGATGTAAGTTGGGGTTGTGTTTGCCCTAGCGGTGAAGACACTGGTTGAGACACCTGCATCCCACATGGGAGTATCTGGGTTCGAGTCCCAGCTCTGGCTCTTAACTCCCGCTTCCTGCTAACGGGAGGCAGTGGATGACGTCTCAGGTAATTAGGTCCCTGCCACCCAGGTTTGTATTGCTGGTCCCTGGCTTCAGCTCTGGCCCAGCTTTGGTTATTGTAGATATTTGGAGAGTGAACCAGCACACCCTTCCTCTTTCTCTTTCTCTCTCTCTCTCTCTCCCTCCCTCCCTCCCTCCCTCCCTCACCCCCTCACCCCACTCCTTTCTGCCACTCAAATAAAAATAAATGAATGAATAAATGAACAAATAAATAGGATTAAAACAAGATTAGTTATTTGAAAGGCACAGTGAGAGCAAGGGTGAGAGCGAGTGAGTGTGTGAGAGAGAGAGATCTTCCACCTGCTGATTCTGTCTCTAAATGGCAGCAATAATCAGAGCTGGGACAGATGGAAGCCAGGATCCTAGAACTAAATTCAGGTCTTCCATTTGCGTGGCAGGGACCTAAACTCTTGAGTCATCACCTACTGCTTCCCAAGTGCATTAACAGCGAGCTGGATGGGAAGCAAGTAAGCAGAACTTGAACTGGCTCTCTGATACTGGATGCTTGTGTCCCAAACAGTGGCTTAACATGCTGTACCCCAACACTCATCCCAAGAAATTGGGTTCTTGCATGAGCTTTCCTGACTTTTAAATATTTGCAATTATTCAAAAGATAATTAAGATTAAGCCACAGCATTTTTGGGGGGCCTTGTGTTTGCTTTAGTACAGAGAAGAGGCAGATATCTCTGGCCTAGAGCACATCGGAGGGAGAGAGATTTTCAAGGGGCTCAGCAACGTAAGAGCAAATATCTGAGCTGGGGGTGAAGGAGGAGACTTCTTCATGGGAGGAGGAATACAGATGCTCCTTGACTTATAAGACTGCATCCTGGGGTGGGTGTTGTGGCACAGAAAATTAAGCTGCTGCTTGGGACACCCTCATCCCATAATGAAGTGTATGGAATAGAGCCCTGCCTCCACCTCCAAGCCAGCTTCCTGCTAATGTAAATCCTGGGAGGCAACAGGTGATAGCTCAAGTTCTTGGTTCCTGTCCATCCATGGGAAACCTAGATGGACTTTTGGCTTTGGCCTGATTGAGCCCTATCTCTTGCAGGTATTTGGAGAATGAACCACAGATGGGAAAACCTCCTTCCTCTCTCTCTTTCTTTCTCTCTCTCTCTCTCCAACCACCTTTTGTCTGCTTTTCAGATAAATAAAAATAAGTCAACTGAAAACATATTATCCAGATAAGTATCATAAGCTGAAAATAATGTAAGTCAAAAAAGCATTTAATACTTAGTCAACTTTAATCATCCTCATAACCTCTGCATTAGTCTACAGTTTGGCAAAACAACTCAAAGAAGCCACTTTATGGTAGAGTGATGACTATCTCATGGAATCCATTGAATATGAATAGCTCTATTTTGAGATAGACTGACAATGTGGTATCTGCGAGGGTCAGTGGCTTCCCCTCATGACTGCAGGACTGGCGGGGAGCTGTGCTCACTGTGGCTGATTGGCACTAAGACAGAGGACTGCACCACAGAGGACCAACCCAGGGAAGGACTCAAGACTCAAATTTTGAAACCAGAGTTCTCCCCTACACGAATACTTTTGCACCACTGTAAAGTGAAACCATGGTAAGTTCGGGACTTGTGGTCAAGGCAGGGATGACCAGCTGATAGCAAGTTCCTATCTGCCCTAAGACAAGCAGTAACTGGCTCCGGGTGCTGAGAGTGCCCTAGAAACCTCAATGGGGAGTCAAGCCCCCTCTCCAGCCTCCAACCATCCATGCTTTGTTTCTGTTCTGGAAACCTCACTCACTTCACTCACTCATTCACTCACTCACTGCTCTCTACTCACAACATTCATCACCCCAATTTCCCATTGAATCCCCATTCCAACAGGAACATCTACTCCTTCCAACCTCTACATATCCCTCCTTGTTCCAGTCTCCTCTCTGGCTGCTGTCCTCACCCCCACATGGTACTGCGGCCAGTACTGAAAGGAGAAAACCCCCACATGCCACAGCCACGACACTGGGCCATAGTGTTCCCGCACCGCTCTCATCATCCATCCACTTCTATAAGCCTCTTAATGATGGATGCCACTGATGCTGTCCCCATGCCTTGCCTCCCTGTGCTGTCTCTGTGCCTTGCAGGCTTCTGGGACAGCAGGATCTCACCGTGACTGCAGAGGGCAGTGTGCAGAACCAGGGCAGGCAGGGGCTCTGGAACCCAGCAACCAGCCTTGCCTCCCAGCTCCACCACCACTAACCCTGCAAGCCCAGACAAGTTGGCCAACACCCCCGTGCCTCAGTTCCCAAATGTTTTACAAGTGGGCAGGAATAGCAGAGCACTTCTGTGAGGATGCAACGGGATGTGTGCTTGGTTCTTAGAGCAGTGCCTGCTGCACTCAGCGCACTGTCACTAGAACCAGTTCTTCCGTGCACTTAGTATACATCTGGGTCCCCCGTAGACGATCAGAATTTGGAGGACTGGTGCTGAAGCAGCCCTGTCTGCATCGGAGGCCCTGGACTCAGGGCTCAAAGCAGCCTACACAGCAAGCACACAGGAGCCCCAGTCGGGAACGGCAGCTCCCTACTGCCTCAGAGATGCCCGAAACGGCATCCTTTCCCTGCCAGCTACGCGGCCTAGAAACAGAGCTCCGTATTTGCTTCAACACGTTACAGATAAAAGGAAACATAAAATCACAAATCCAATGAAGAAATCTCCCTAATTATTGTTCATTATTTATATCTAATTGAAGCAGAATGTTCCTTTGCTTGAAGGGCTCCGAGGGTTGTAACTCTGTCGTAATTTGCCTGTAAATGAAAGGAAAGGGAATCTTTTTTTCTCCCCACATTTAAAACATTTTTTTCTCATGCTAATACAAACAAACACAGGGCTTTGATGAATGGGGAACATCCGGAAGAATCACACAGTGGAGTCTAAATACTGAACCGCTCCAAATGACTGCGCTCGCTCTCCGCTCTCCAAGAGCCCGGAGTGGATGTATAGCAGTCCCATCCCCCCACTGGAAATAGACAGTTCTTCTGCACTTACTCATATGGTGCCTGTGGCCAGCGGCACACGGAGCATCATCTCTGGATGACAAGCATGCGGCCCAGATGTTTATGGCATCTGTCCTGGTGTAGCTCCTTGTCCTCAAGGTCACCCCGAAAGGCCCCAGCCCCCTTGCTCAGACTCCATGGGCCAGCCCATCACCTCCCTCAGCCAGGGATCAGTACAGAAGCATCTCTCCCACCACAGATGCATACTGCCCTGTTCAGCGAAGGTAAGCCCACTGCCATGTGCAGCACACACTCCCACATTTCAGGGTGAAAAAACCTAGATAAGGGTACGGGGTGGGGGTGTGGTTGGGAAGGAGGGCTCAGTTATTCACGGACCAAAGTTATCATCACCTCCCTGGGGCATCATCCTCTTGTCAGAGTATCCAGTGTTGGAAGGAACACCTGGGGAGGAGCAAGGAGGTGTGGGGCAGGATAGCCACCCGCCCAGGTGGCTAAGTGAACAGCCATCAGACATGGTAGCCAGAGAGGAGGCCTATCTGAACCAGTGAGACAGGTGTCACTGGGAGTACACTGCACTGTGTAAAGTCAATGTCTTCAGCAGTTGATTCTTAGATAGTGGCCAAGTGCTCCCACCACAGAAGGAGGGGGGGAGATGTGCCCCCTCACAGGTGGGGTCTCTAAGGTCCAGCACACAACTTGCTGAAGTCATTCAACCAGCTATTTCCTCGACAGTTCTGGACATCTGCAAGGTGCATCATCTTGCAGAATGAAGGGAGTTCATTCTCAAGGGGCTCCCAGCAGAGGTCAGAGAAGTCAACCAGCAGTAACCAAACAATGGCAGCTGGGTGGAGATGCATGTCCATCCATACAGTGGATCCCAGAAGCACAGCGGAGAAGCAGATGACACATGGGCCAGAGCTCAGCAAGGTGCCTAGCAGAAGCCTCCCTGGGAAAAGCCATGACCAATCGGACAAGGAGCTGACTCAGGAGACACTTCAAAAGCATCATGCCAGGCTGTCCACCTGGGCCTGGCTTGGCTGATGACGTGTCATGGTGTAAGCAGGTGCAGCTTGAGGCCTGCCCCATCTCTGCTTGCAGCCTATCTCCTTGCTTTCACTCTTGATAACACTGAAGCTTAGAATCCTCTCATGGCACAGCCTGCCCTCTCCTCCAAGCCAACTTTTGACCTCATGGCTTCTACTCAGTCGTGCCCTAGAAAAGCTGGGTTTGGGACCAATGCAGCTGCTTGTGTGTATGTGCTGCCCTGGATTGCTGATTTGGGGGTGGGAGGTACTTCGTAGTTCACAACTATAAGCCCATCAGACCGTCTTGCAAAAAGACTGTGTGAATGTCCTTTGCCTTTGAGAGCAGCTTCCTCCCTTCACAGATGCACCTGCTGGTAGTTCCACAATGTCTCCTACAGTCGTGGCCAAGGACAGTCTACCCAGCTCAGCAACACCTCCCTTCCTCCCCACACTTCTCCCCATAAATCAATCTCCTCATTAACAAAGAGATAAATGCGTTTGCAGCATGAGACAAAT